CATCCCATCCCACTCCAGACCCCTCATAGCCCCCCCTTCTGATAGTCCGGCATATCGGATAATCTGGCACCCCCTGGGTCCTAAAGGTGCTGGATTATCGGAAGTTTACTGTATTTTTATATAAGGCACTAGTGTAGTGGCCTCTATAAGGGATGTAACCTTTAAGACTTTTTTTAATTTCAAGGCAACCGAAGATCTGCCCCACTTCTTCCCCAAAAGCCTGCCCATTCTATTTCCACCACCATCACTTAGAATCATAGAACTGGAAAAGACCTCAGAAGGTCAAGTCCAGCCCCCTGCTCTATGCCGGACCAATCCCAACTAAATCAACCCAGCTTGCTCTCTCCCATCCTCACTTACTCTTAAATAAGCTGGGGTAGGGGCTGTGGGCTCTGTGCTAGGACTGATGCATAAGGGTGCAGGAAGTGGTGAGGGGTGCAAGTGCTGGGAGGGAGCTGGGGTGCTAGAAAGACTCCAGGCTGGGGTAGAGTGTTGGGGTGCAGGTGGGGATGTGGAATGCTGGCTCTGGAAGAGTGGTCAGGGCTAGGACAGGGATAGAGGAGAGGGTGTGAGGTACAGGCTCTGGCTGGGAAGTGCTTACTATGGATTTAACTGCTAAGGGTGCTGTTGACCCATTAAACCGGTGCCTGGCTGGAGCAGCCCCCAGCACGGTGGGGGGGAAGGAGGTTGCTCTAGTTGGGCACAGTGCACCATGGGGCTGGCAGCTAACAATCGAGCCCTGCTGTTAGCCGTCTGATAGAATTTTCATTGGTTACACAGATAATACTTTTTTACATCCCTAGTGCTTACTAGGGATGTTAGCCTGTAATAGAACAGTCGTGTGACCGCATCAAATTTTTGCAGTTACATGACTATTCAATAGTCCCCAGAGGCAGGGCCAGCAGCCAGTGGACTCCTGGCCCCACTCCTGGGGAGCCCCCTGCCACTCTGCATTGCTTCCTCTCTATCAGGGGTAGCAGTGTGGGGAGGCAGAAGGGAGCCAGTTTAAAACCAGCTCGTTGTGCAGACCGGCTCCGCTTGCCATCCCACACTGCTGCCTCGGTATCAGAGGCAGCAGCACGGGGTGGCAGCAGCCCTTGTCTGCAGCGAGCCTGGGCCTGCTGCAGACTAGGGATGTAAGCAAATAGTCCAATGTTGGTCCACAAGAACAAATGGCCATCAACAAGATTAGACTTAAAATTGGATGACCGTTTCTGATTATTAGAGAAGTGACGTTCTGGAACAGCCTTTCAGGAAGAGTAGTTGGAGCAAAAATATCGTACTGATTTGAAGTCTGAGCTTGATGAAGTCTTGGACGGGATGGTATAAGATTGTCTAACTGGCATGTGGCACAGCTGCAACTTCTAGTAGCAAATCCCTGCATAAGCAGAAATGGGACATTAGTTGGAGAGGCCTCTGAATTACTGCAGTGCATTCTCTCCCAAGTGCTTGGCTGGTGGGGCTTGCTGACATGCTCAGTGTCTATCTGATCCACGTATTTGGAAAGAGGCTTTTCCCCAGATCAGGTTGACGGAGACAAGGGATGTGAGTGGGTTACCAGTTATCAGGTAGTGGGCAATGCTTACTGGGTAATCTTAACCTTTACCTGGGAGGAGGCCCCTACCTCCCCTTCTTCCACCCATGGGCAGATGGGTGGTCCGGGCCCAAGGGACTGCTGGCTCCCAGCCTGTGTGGGCTAGGCGTTGGCAGCATCAACTGCGTGTGGGTGGAGTAAGTCCATTTTTAGGTGATAGCGAGTGACGAAGGATAACATTGCAGCGAGGAAAAAGAGGGCGCCCTTTAGCTGTTCACTTATAGATGTCTTCACATCTTGTCAGATTTTAAAAATGTGTCAAGAAAACTGTTTTGGGTGTTAGCTGGTTTCTGTGATAAATTGCTCAGTGTTTCACAGTAAGTGTACACTGTGAATTTGAGGTGGGGAGTAAGCTAATGAGCAGATCAGGAAAACTCTCTGGCCTAATGAAAACTGCAGCAGGAAGAACAAAGTGTTAGTTTAAATGTGATACACCAGAAGGTTTTTTTGTTTGTTTTTTTTAAACATATTGCCCCATACATGCACACAGTCGGTATGTTGTGGACTTCTTGTTGAACTGGTTAATCAAGGTTATATCTCTTACTAAACAACTGTGTTTTTCCACCGCTACCCAAATTACAATAGTGATTATCTTCATTAAAGGGAGACTGAAATTACTAGCTTGCTAGTTGGGATGTCCACTAGAATGCATAACAGCAAAAAATGTTCCTAATTTAATATAACTTCAATAATGTTGCTTTTAAAAACTCTAGTCCTCTTTACTCCAGCCAATGTATACAGTTCTAGTAAATATTTCTCTAAACAGCCTATCCCTCAACCGTACCCCAAGCAGAGTTCTGACCCATACAGGGGAAGTACTAGAGACTCCATGAAATCTAGGGCAGAGACGGGCAATAAGCCAGAAGCGGTTTGCTAGGGTTAGCCCTTGGCAGGCTGCCAATGCTTTATTTACCTGCGGATGTGCAGGTATAGCTGCTTGCAGCTTCTGTTGGCTGCAGATTGCTTGCCAATGGGAGCTGTGGGAAGCGGAGTCCTGGTCCGTGCATGCAGCCATGCTAGCAGATGCTCAGGTAAATAAAGCATAAGCAGCCTGCCAGGGACTAACCCTGGCAAACTGCCTCAGCCAGCGGGCCTCTTCTTGCCCACTTCTGCACTAGGGACTTCATTGTTCCTATTGGGTTTTGCGTGGATGGCACTTGCATACTCTGAGGGGCTACACCAGTCATTTCCAACCTTTAAGCACAAGATCACTTAAGTGCAAACCAGGATGTACCTCAAAGAGAATGTAGGAGTAAGCTTGTTATATAAAGCTGAAATGAAGTGCTTAACATACATCAGTTATACATTTTCCCTTCTTACTGAGTCTCAGGCTGATGCTTGTGACTGCACGCTATTTGCCAATGTCTTAAAATGTGGGTTGTAATTTTGAAAAAGTTGGCTGGATGAAGTCTTGCAGTGAGCAGCTGTGAGGCAAGTGTAATACTTGGTGCCATGTGCGGGTTCTGGGAGGGGACTCAGGGTTGGGGTACAGAAGGAGATATGGGGTGGGGACTCTTGGACAGATTTTGGGCCTGATGAGATTCAGGGTTGAGGAACGGAGGAGTTGGGGGTAAGCACAGTAGCCCTAAGGAACACTTTTTGCCTGTCCTGACCTCGCGCTGCTCGTAGAAGCATACAGCAGCTTATCCTTGTGTGTGGAGCCACCTGCCCCTCACATACTGTCCCTTTCTGCAGACACCACCCCTGCAGCTCCCATTAGCTGTGGTTCCATGTTCCTGGCCTATGGGAGCTGCAGAGGTATTACCTGCAGGCAACAGCAGCACGTGGAGACCGCCAGTACCTTGCTCAGGGATGTGCCAGTTGCTTCTTTAAGTGGCATGGGGTCAGGGCAGGCAGGGAGTCTGCCTTTGCCCCACTATGCCACTGGACTGTTAATGGCCCATCTCCTAGTTGAGCTGCAGGAGCCTCCGGGAGACCAAGCCCAATTCTGAGTCTCCCTATCAAACCTGGAGGGCTGGAAACCCTAAACTGAGATTGTCAGTGGTTCTGTGATCCACCAGGGAATTGCAATCTACCAATTGGTGACCACTGCTCTAGAACAGGGAACCAGTAAATCCATTCACGAGCTTTTGGAGGACCTGTAACATTCATTTGCATATTCAATAAGCAAATGATGAATATTCAAATAAGTTGTTTCTGGTCCTCCCAAAGCCCCCAGTGCCAGCGTTAGCAAAGCTTTTGATACAGTGACCCACAATATTCTTGCCAGCAAGATAAGGGAATATGGATTGGATAAATAGACTGTAAGATGGATAGAAAGCTGGCTAGATCAGGGTTTCCCAAACTTTTTACTTCAGTTGGAACCCGTTTTTTTTTTTAGTACTGTCTTTTGCAGCCCAAAAATATAGACGCATATTTTAAAAAAAAAAAAAGAATGAAAAATGAATAAATTTTCAGTGTTTCACCCGGCTGCATCCTCCAACCAGCCTGGGCCAGGGCTTGGGGGACCTGGTACCATATGAGCACTTCAGGTGGTGGGAGCAGGAGCAGATTGGGGTTAGGGTATCTGGCTAAGAGGGAGGGTGCAAGGAAGAGTAGGGTTGCCTGGTGTCCGGTTTTGTACTGGACAGTCTGGTATTTAAAGGTTTTGTCAGGGAAAGAAATTGAGAAATTACCAGACATATAAAATGCCTGGTATTTTCTAATTAGGTACGTTTTATTATAACTAGGTGTATTAGTCCTTAGCTGCCTGGTTGGTAGATGTGCTCATACTGCCTGAGTGTGTCTACCTGCCAGGCAGTTCACAACTACCCCAGGTAGGGTATGTGTGCGGTGGGGAGGAGGCAAAATGGAATCCCCCGCCAGACTCACTCGTCTGCCAGGGTCTGCATGTGCCCAGGTCAGTCTCGCTCCCCCCTTTCTCTTCCCGATCTCCCCAGTCCAGCCTCACTGCCCCCGTCCAGCCCTGCTACCAGCAGCTGTTTTTCCCGTCCTCCTCCTGATCTTCCCCGGCCAACTTCCCCTCCGCCCATGCAGCCCTGGTTCCGCCGCCTGCCCTCTCCGATTTCCGCCGCCGAACAACCCCGCTACCCCCAACCCTGCTTCTGCCGCCCGCCCGCCCACATGCCCGGATCTCCATGGGACAGCGACACTCCCCCAGTCCTGCTTTGGCTGCCCGCCCGTCTGCCCGGATCTCCACCGAGACAGTCCTGCTGCCCCCAGCACTGCTTCCTGATGGCCGGTTCCTCCCCCCATTTCCCAGCCCGCCTTGCTTTGCTTCCCTTCCGGCAGCCATGCTGAGGCCTGGTATTTTTTTTGCCACAGCCCATAGTTTGGGAAACGCTGCTGTAGAATATAGAGGTCTGATTCCTGACTAATCTTGCTTCATAGGTGCTTAATTGATTTTTTTTTTCACCCTGTTTCTCCAGCTAAGAGGATTAATAGAAATAATTATCTTGAAGCAAACACTGCCTTGTGTGAGGTGCAAATTAAAACTCATTACTTAAAGTGAATTCCCTGGAGTAGCAATCTGTTAGTGCTTAGAATTAGTGTAACTTTTTTGAAGGTTTGGTTTCGTTCCCTGATTTGACATGTTAAACCAATAATTTAGCTGAGAATGTTTTGTACAAATATTCTAATGCTGCCTTAAACGACATGGAGAGAACTAATGATCTCCCTGGTTATCATGTGTAACTGGGTTAGAGAAGTAGCAGCTTGGGCTCTGAAGTATAAAGCTTATTTAAGTTTTATACTGCAGTTCCTGCAGTGTATAACTGTGTAACTGCTGAGATTTTCAGTGGTTACAGGGTTACCTATTTAACTGACATTTAACATCTCTAGTTACTATGCAAGTCTTTTCTAAGATCCTATATATAATTACTCTTGATTCTAGATCATGATCCTGCAGCTGTGATAGGAAGGATCAAACAAAAATCAGAGAATTTCTGAGCATAGGAATAGCGGTAACTGCATAGAAATTAATTAGCAGCATTGGATTAAATCATTCAACCCAACTCATGTTAACGATGAGTAAACATGTGCATTGCATTAAGTCAGTCTACAATGTAGAATGCATTTTTAATATAACTTGTAAAAAGAAGCTAACCTGAAAACTCTCTTACTACTTCAGAACCGACTGTAAAGATAGACTTCCTCTTCACTAAATCAGGACTCCTAATGTATCAACACAATCCAGAAAAGAGACAAGGGAACAAAGTGCTTTGATTGGTCTTTCATCATATTATACCCAGACATTTTAGGGCTTTAGTGGAGTTAAATCACAAGTGGATTTGGCCTTGTGTCTTCAGCTTCTAACGTTTGAGATGGGTAAGCAAAGGGACAGAATTACTAAAGACTGTGGAACAAAAACTTCCTGTCAATGGCCATGTCTACCAGACAAACTTTGGTCAATGCAGACTTTGGTTACTTCAGCTCAAAGCCACAGCAGTTAATATATCACAAGAGCCCTGCAAATCCATGGCTATGCGCTTGGCACTGGCGGATGTGGAAGTTTTGGCAATGTATGGTGGGACAAATGGGTAGCATAGGGTGACTGGGAGCATGGGGCCCACTTCATACAACTGCCTGCATTCCATAATGTTGTCTATATTCCGTTATTTTTGCACTTCTATAAAGTATCTTTTGAACATATGCAGCCCTCCTTGCAGTCTGCCATCTCTGACAGAAGCATGGAACCTGCATGGCTCTGCACTATTCTCACAAGCGTTTCAAGCTCAGGGTGCACAATCCTACTGTATTGGCTAAATCATAAGAAGAACAAGGTCAGCATGGAACACTGCAAGAACAAATTCAGGGTTGTAGGTGGTGGTCATGGAGCATTGCTTCTGGGCCCACAAAACAAGCACTGGCTGGAGGGATTGCATCTTACTGCTTGGGGTGGCCAGCACTAGTTGCAGAGCTGTCAGATGCACAGTCACAACTCTGCCTCTGTGTGCAGAGCTCACCTCAACCCTCCAGCACAAGGACACGGGAATAAGAGAAGCACTGACAGTGGAGGAGCCAGTGGCGATCTGGTTGTGGAAACTTGTAGTGACAGATTGCTACCAGTCAGTGGGAAGTCATTTTAAAGTTGAAAAATCCACCATAGGGGCTGGTTGCCATGGAGGTGTGCAGCATCATTAGTCATCTCCTGCTGTCCAGTGTTTGTTACTTCCAGCAGTATGCAGGCCGTAATGGATGGTTTTGCTACAGCAACAGGGTTCTGAACGGCACTAACTGGGCAATAGAGAACATGCATATCCCTACTTTGGCCCCAGAGTGCCAAAGTAAAAACAGAGTGCGTCAGTAAAAAGGGCTACTTTTTTGTGGTTATCCAAGCGTGGATGGATTATCGGAGACAATAACTGACATACCCAGAGTACAATCTGGGCTGTTATATAGCTGAGGGGACACAGCTGTTCAGCCTGGGGGGTGCCTTTTACATTGCTTTGCTGTGAAAGCTGCCACTTCTGCAGCAAGGACAAGTCAGGAAACATGCACAGATAAGCTGCTTTGCATTGACATATGTGGACCCAGCTTTGTAATGTAGATCAGACCTATGTAAACTGAGGACATTTTTTTAAATAATCCCCACCCCAGGAATGTGAAAGAATAGGTAGTGCTGAAGATGTCCATTTGTTCCTTTCCAAAAAGGTTTATGAATCCCAGGCCAAACTTGACTAGTTGGTACACATTGGACTATGTATATCTGGAAACTTCAGAATAGACTGTACTCCTACTACTTCAGCTAAATGCGTATGGTTATATGGTGCTTTCATTCTCAGGTGTTTGATGCTGGAGAGTTTTTCGGAATAATGCAAGTAGAAGAGGTGGAGGAGGGGGCGGAAGAGGACAATGAAGAAATTGAAGATGAATTGAAAAAGAAACCCAATCCTGGAAATGAACTCTGTTACAAGGTTATTGTAACAAATGAGACTGGATTACAAGCCGCAGATCCCAACGGGTAGGTTCTAGTTTTCCCTAATTGCAGATAGTTCACTTTTTCCTGAAACACACATCTTGTAAAACAGTGGTTACCAACCAGATTGGGATCTACTGATAGATCTTGGAACCTCTGACAGGTTTGGCCAGGAGGTGATCAAGTTCTGGCTCTTCATTTGCCCCTCTCAGCACTGCCATGCTGCTCCTGCCCTCTGCCTTGGAGGTGCCCCCACCCCTGGCAGCTTCCTGCTTGTTGTGCAGTGTATGAGTGCTGATGTCAGGGTGCCCCTCCCATCACCCTGTACCCCATCTCCACAGAGCAGAGGGGGGCAGGGATGGAGAGAGTTTGCTGGCTGCTTTTGGGAGTGGTGCAGACCCAGGGTAGCATTGAGCCTGCCTTAGCTCCCTGCACCACCACCCAGAAGCCAACTGTGGTAAGTGGTGCCCAGCTGGAGCCTGCATTCCAAATGCCAGTCCCAGTCCTGAACCCCTCCTGCACCTTAAACCCCTACCCTAGCCCTGAGTCCCCCTGCACCCAAACTCCCTCTCAGAGCTTGCACCATGAACCCCGTCTCCCTGCCCTAGGCACAGCTCAGAGTCCCTCACACTCCAAATCCTTTAGTCCAAGATTAGTGTCTGCATCCACCTCCTCCACGCCCCAACCCTCTTCCACCTGCCTGATAAATGTGACTGAGGCTAGGGGAGGGAAGGAGGGAGGGAGGATGGAGTGAGTAGGGGCCAGGTCATGGAGAAGGGGCAAGAAGAAGGCAGGGCAAGAGTGTTTGGCTTTGAGGTAGATCCTGGATTGCATTTAAACTCAAAGTGATCTCCTGCTTAAAAAGGTTAGAGACCACTGTTGTAAAATGAGCCTCATAATTTAATGTTTGTTTTGTTTTGATCCTCAGCACCCTTGTATTCATACCCTACATGCTACTTCAGTTATATTTGGACAATTATATGTCTTGTGATGTATTATTTGAAAACTAGTAAATTTGATCAGTGATATAACTGTAAAATGAATATGATAATGCTATATGTGGAATTGTGTACAGTTGCTGACTTTATGCTTTACAGTCTGTGACTAAAAGGTTAAACCAGAGATGTCAGAAGAGTTGATGAAGAGAAATTCTTCAAAAAAAGGAGAGAGAGAAACTAACACTTCCTACCAGGGTGTGGCCAAAACCAGTATGCTATTTGTTTGTATCCAAGATTGTAAGAAGAAATCATTGTGTTGTAAAAATCAAAAGTGGGGGAGAGGGGCAAAAGGTCAGCCTGAAGTCTACACCAGACATCACGGACAAAGGAAACCAGCACCATAGATAGTGTGAGGATCCTGGCTAAGGGCTAGTCTGTTATTACTAGAAAAGGAAGATGATGGCGAAACTACTTGGAACAAAGCCTGTAACCTGTTATGCCTTGGCCATTTGTAAATACATTTTGACTTGTTTGTAGTCCTCTCTATCTCCACTATTTTGCTAGTGATGGTGATATAGCCTATATCAGTGGTCCACCACCTTTAGAGACTCCCAGGCGCCCGGGGGTGGGGCCACTTACGCGCCGGGCACCCGGGGGCAGGGCCATGCGTCTGGGGGCACGCCAGGGGACGGGGATGCCCTTGCACCCAGCGCCAGCATGTGCCCCAGGGCTGGGGCTGCCCGAGCACTGCACACCAGGCACCGGTG